GAACATTTTAACAGGATACTATGAGCTCAGGTATTTAAAGTATTCTCAGCAGCTGTTAACATATAGTCCGTAGAATGCTTCTCCTTCTTGCTGTCTTGAATATTGTCAAGTGAAAAACCCGCATGAACGTGTCGGCCCGTCATATACCACCGTTTCGAGTATCAGCTATGGCAGGCTATTAATCATTTTTGGCAGAGATGGGGTGTAGAACGTTATTGGTTGCATTTGGTCCATTTAGTTCCATCAAGAAGGGAACTAAGGTCACATCGCCGCTGTTTATGTCTGAATACTGAATACTGAAAATGAAGAGCTAGTAGACCTATCTGTGTTGTCCCATCGTAGTTAGATCTGGCATTGCAGGGAATCAGGTCACTGATTCTTGCGCGTTTGCTGCATAGTACATATGCGCCATACGCATATTGGACGCGATACGCTCCATATATCGGAGATCCGCAATGTCAGGGCCTAGGGATTGCTTACATGTCGACATCGATTTCGTCTCGACTATGTTCTCTGACAATCTGTTCCAATAGTTCACCACTCGCCGCTTTAAGTCCGGTATCACAAGGTTGTACCGATGGTCGCGAGTAATGCCCTGTGCGCGTACTTGCAGCAGTTGCCTCGGCATGGGGAAATTACATATGCAATATCCGGCGTGTCATAACCGGTTCACTCGAAAACCTCAACAAAATCACTCAAAACCGACGATACCACAGGGCGTACAGCCATAGTCGTATGCATCGGTCCTCCTATGGCATATCCCGTAAAATAGGGATGAGTCTGGTAGCTGCACGCTGAACACATTTCAATCTCCGCAACATCACGGGTTATCGAACAATAGGCGGCTGATCCGTACTCGTGCATCGATCTTGTGATGGAAGAGAAGGGACACGTGACACTCACTTCAGACCAAACGCAGAAGATCCATGTGAATGTCCAAAGTATGCACAATCCTTTTACATGTCACTTGTTTGTTATCTGCGGACTTCAAATCGCAGCGTGTGACTAACTAGGATCCTTCACAGAAAGCGTGAGAAGTGTCGGTTGGCTAGACGGAGTTTTCTTAAGCCCATCTACACCCTTCTCCAGGCTCACATAGAACGATTTGACGTGGTTTACCGGCAGATCCTTCTCTACAGACCACACGGACAGGTGGTTGAGGTAATGCTGAGGTATGCCACAGTCGTCCGGAGCATCAGTTCTTCTCCAAAGCCACAGGTCGACTGCGAACAACGCACAAGGTGACCGAAGATGCTAAGTTACTTCATTAACGTGGGTCAGGAACAATATGGGCCCCAGTACTGTGCCCTGGTGTACGCCACTATTGGAAGGGCATCAATCCGTTAGATGGCCATCTGTCCATTTCTCCCGAATGAAAAAGTCACTGATCCAGTGGTGCAGTGAGCTCCCAGGGCCGCCCATTCAAAGTGATCATTCCAGCGATTAACTGAAACCCCATACTCCTACAGGTCATCTGCCTAAACAGCAAGCGTATTTGCACGACGTACCGTTGCCTCTACTGCATTTGGATGTAGGTGGACCCGCTTGGCAAGGTCAGGAGGACAAATTTTATCCGTGAGTGATATGCGCATCGGAAGAGAGAACACCGATTCCTAAACTTGTGGCATTTCTACTAGAATAACCTCCATCCTTATTCTACCAGTTCTAAGCAACTGTGTGGTTGAAGCGCAACGTAGTGTTGCCTTGTTCATAAATTTATACAGTGTGATTGCATTCATACACCTGCTGCCAAATTGGGAATTATTCTGCTTTCATTGGGTTTTAATAGCAGCTCAAACTGATTTCAGTGAAAACCTAACTTCATTCTGGATTATGTATTGATTTCCTTATAATGGCGGTTCTGCTTCGGCCTGTATCAAGGACGATCATTAATAACAATACGCTTATGACTAGCAGATTAAATGACTCAAACGTGAAAGCTTTCAGAGGTTGTGAGACTTTGAAGGAACCTGGCTCCCTCACAACTTGCTACCTTGGCTAACTGATGGTTCCTTTTTGCATGTCACAGAAGGAAAATGTAATCAAGCCGACTGATTGACCCTTACTGGACTGTTTACTTTCAGACATCCAAGACACTTTTTAAAGCAACTAACGATGACAAGCGAATGTGATGTTTTGCACAGATAACGATTGCGTCTTTCCATTGCAATTAACAAACTAATCATCCGGACAATCTTTGCTATTTTCTTTACGCATCGAGACTGACGCAGCATCAAAACAGCATTTTGCCGCAGAGACCAGAGTTTGGTGATTTCAATAATATGGATAAACAGAGCTTCCGTAAATACTAATCAGTGAAATTTCAGGCTGATTCTAAGAGAACGAATTTCAGTAAGGAATGTTCGTTGGCCTTGTGGTTGAAAGTCATAAAACCCATGCCATGTTTGCGTGTAGTAACCAACTATGCGTTATTTACTGCCCTTTTATATGAGAAAAGCGAGCTTAGGATTAAGGGTAAAGAACAAGAAAAAGAACAGATTTTAGGTGATTACAAAATATACGTAATTTATTTGTCTTGTTGCCAAGCAATGGGCAACAACAGTTCTCGAAAGCTGGCATGATACCGTATCGTCATTTTATAACATTACTGAATGGGTGCACATAAATCCGACCGACGTTTGTAGTTGTGTGGTTTCGATGTTTGTATGATATCTCAAAGTAAACTGTTACGCTTTCAGTAAAAGTTAAAGTAACAGAATGCCATCTACTAACAGGATACTAAAATACTTTTGCTATTGAATGACTGCTGGAATGCATTGCATTGTTGTCGGTTCCGTCAAATCTGGCTGTTTTATTAGTTTAAATGTAAGTTGTTTTACCAATTGGTTTGCATAGGGTTCATAGGCAAAAGACGGTCTAGGTTATCCTGCTTGTGCTGGGTAAATTTCCGTGAACGCCACAAATCTATAGACATGAGAAAAGAGTATATTGGAGAAACCAATGGTTAGTTGGTGAGCGCTTTCCTAGTTGTGGTTCCTTTGTCCGTCATAAATGGTCGTTACTTCTCCAACAACACGACGTGTTTTGTTGCTGTTTAGGGATGGATACTACATTTCTGCTTCAGATGGACTAACTGCGAGGTATCGCACCCCTTCGTTGAAGCAAGGTGACCCCACCTTAAGAATGTTAACTTCATGGTGCAACCATCCTAGATGCTCATGTAGGTCCAAGTAAGAATTAGATCGTTGACGCCAGGAAAGATTGGAAACCACCTGTACGCATAACTGGGTAAGGAAGACCGTCCCAATGTTTCATATACGTTCGATGTGAGGAGTACTGCAAAAGCAATGTCAGTAGAGATTTGACAAAACACATACGCAAGCAGCAGTGAGTTGTAGACTTAGCCAAAACACAACTACCCATCAGATTATTTGCTATTTTCACAACCGAGGCTTCATAACATTCATGCACAAAATGTTTAACCCTCACAAGATGTAAAACTTCTTCCATCAGCACACCACATTGGAATGTGTGATGATAGCCGTTTGGGTCAGTTCAATCCGCGGTTGGAATCTGATCTAGTACCGTTGCTTTCAGAGCGTTGTCTGTTCAGCAGTAAAAATATACGATACGTTTACAAACCTTGCTTTCTCCCGTTTATATGGTGGGTATAACAAAAATATTGCCTCACATATCAGGAAAATGTGCATACAGTTTTCGTTTTGATATCACAAAGTTTTGTGGCTTTCTGCTTTGTTCTAAACACTTACGTAGTAAAATTTGAAAATGTAGCAATACGTTCCACTTATCCTTCTGCAGTAAATTTTATGATATAGGCAAATCATACGCGGCTTTAGAAATAAATAGTATCCTCGTATGTCGTGTTTGCGCTGCTTGCCAACGCAGGATGGTCTGTTAAAATCAATGAGAAAAGTCAGGCATTAACCAGAGGTGCAGTTTTCTTTGTTTGGTTCACATTCCTTCCAAACTGACGTGCAACACCCATCCCATGCTGAATAAATGCATCTCGGATACATACACTGAGATCGCGGGAGATCACTAGGTTTGTGATATGCTGTTGAGGGTACTCCCTATATCATGAATGCTGCTTCTCCTGGGAGCGTGGGTCAGCCCTGAAACAACCGTAGTTCTCCATTTAACTAACTGTACAGTTAATCCTTACGAGTCCGCAGCAAAGAAGCTTCTAATGATTTGAGAGTTCTCTGATTCTGTGTCCAAAGGCCCTTTTTCCTGAAGCCGACCATGCTTACACGAAGAATCATTACCTCTTAGAAAGAAATGAGGCAAAGGTGAAAAGTAAATGGATGTGATAACCACTGTGAACTTGCAGTTGCTTAATGTCAAAGTTTGGGTGAGGTTTACAATGTATATGCTTAGAAATACACATATACATGCCCACAAATTGGCTAACTGGAAAACTGTAGCACATAGAATGTTTACCGGACGGAAAATTATGGTACGCAAGCAGTGTGTACTAAATCGACCACACTAGTGTAGTCACAGCATCAGATATTATAGACCATAAATTCGGCATCCGTCTAGAATGTACTAAATTTGTTGATTAGTCAATGAAACCTAAAATACAAGGTAAAATGAACATGAATGAATAAGCTAAACTATACAAATCTTTGCAACTAGCTGAGGTCATCTGAAGTGAACACATATTTTTGATTGAACGACAGATAAAAGCAGGCTTTTTTTTATCAAGGTGTTTTGTTGTCGTTGTGGGCCATCCAAAAACATTTGCTCGTGGAGGCTATAAGCCACGACAAAATGCGATTAAACTTACACTCACTTTTCAACACGCAAAAGTAGCATGCTCTTGCTACTAGGGAAACGTACATAATAGTACTTTTAACACTATATCTTAACAAATCCAGGTTTACTGGAAATTTGTATTCAGCTTTTGATAGTAGATGAAAGGTCATAAGTTCGATGTAGAACAATAGTGTCTTTTGGAAATGCTCCAGTTTAGCTTTCTAGTAAGGTCAAAAGTCCGAAAGGATGACAATACTTACCTTTAATAACATGGCTTCGGACGTTTCCGTCTAACTTTATCATCATGGGCTCAAGCAGCCTAGTTGAATTTAGGAAGATCACGTAATTGATGAGTTCGCCTGTGCAGTTGGCATAATTGGAAGGCTTCCAGGAAACTTTGGCTTCTTGCGTTCCCCTCGAGGTAACACGAAGCTGTAATCAGAGCAGGCTTCATGTGATAATGTTTGAAATAAAGATGTATATCTATGTCACATACCCAGTGAGTATCAACTAAAGTTCAGCAATAATTCTGGATTAGTGTATTCAAGTTACCCACTAAGATTTGGTTGCCATCTTTATATCCGCTACTTAAACTATACATGTCACCTGATTTATTTGTAAATTTTTGATAGTGTCACAATGATAACAATTAATTCCCGGAAGAAATTATTTTATCAAAATACGAAAAACAGTAAATATTACGCATTTTTCATCTTGCTACAGATGCAGTAAACAAAAGACTTTACTTCACCATCTTAATCATTAACTGTCAGCTCCAGATTCATGGATATGAATAATGCTACGGGGTAAGGTTCTGAGAGAATATATCAGAACCTCATCGGTGGCTCTTATCTTCGTTATCATCACTAGTCTTCAAAAGAGCCCCTTTCTACACACGCCTCAAAAGATCTGAACTTTGGATCTCACAACATACTAAGGCCGTAGTTTCGGTCATTTGCATGGTGTTATTTTACATGCATTTTTTGGCGTAGTTTGTAGCTTGTGTAATATCTATCTGAATCTCTAGAAATCATGAGGCATCTACTAACAATCTTTCTTCTGCTGATGGTAGGGTCAATTTGAAATACCGTTGTGTGATTTGATTGGGACGCTCAATCTTAATGTGGATCTTCATTCGCAATGAATTAGACCTTGATCATTTCTATCACTAGGATCATAGCTGATTCAAAAGTAAATTAAGTTGTGCCCGCCTAAAATCACTGAACCCCACAAGGCGTTTCCACCTTATTTGAGCTCATCAGGTAAAGGTAGCCGGCTTTTAACATAAGTCATTGGGATGTAACTTGGGACTTTTACCCCTTGAGCCACAGGGTCATAAGATGTTGCACTTGGCACAACGGGTAATGACTTACATGGGGTTATTTTGAAATGCTACTCCTCTGATCATGATGACGAATAGAAAGGTTTAACTGTAAATTCAAATTCATACCTCGAACCCGCCGATCATCGAATCCATCCCACCACGAAACACTGACAATACAGTGGACACCATTCATACTTCATGTCTGAACCAAAGGTGTATCAGATAGTGTTATCAAGCTCTATAAATCCTTCAACTGAGTTGCATGCAATAAGACCGGAAATAATTGTCTAAAGGAAAAATTACCGGTGATAGAAAGTTTTCAGAACATGAAATTGTAGTAAACAGAATTGTCCATATAATGCAAGTTTATTAAAATAATGAACTACAGTTGTGTCCCAAACGGAGAGTATATTTGAACAAATTGTTCATCCATTTTGCATAAACCTCCCAAGTCGGTTCAAAGATTGTATATTGTGTAATTATGAAATCCTACTTCGGCGCACATTTGAATCGTGTAAAATGAATAGTCACTAAATACTAACTTCTTTGGGAGGCGTAAGGGGTGGAAGAGACGGAACACGGGGAGAAGACGGCATAGATGCTGAGAGACTCCTACGTTCCCCGGACATAGCGAAAAGCAGGATGCGATAGAATCTGTCCGGAGGAAGACCGGCGACGATCGTCTGTGAAGCAGAGGCTGTAACGTTTATGGTTATCTGCATTTCTGTTGAAATTCTGTTTGGCAGCATGATACTGTTCGGAGTTACGTTGTGGTTTCTCAAATACGTCGAGCAGCGTGAAATCTCATCCTGAGTAGACTGCTGCCCTAAAGGTATCAAAACCAACCTGTGTCGGGGCAAATGAGACAGAGGAAATCAGTGATCTACTTCATCGATAAAATGGTTTAGACATGTACTTACTGATCTCAGTTCATTGACGCTTAATCCTTATTCAATGTTGAATTTTTCACAATAGCCCAGGTTAACTAATTTGCAGATGCCTAGAAAAGTGATCAATAATGAACTAAATCTTACTTCAAATCAGATTTACTTAAGGGAACCAAGTTTGTGATCAAGGATCAACTGCGGTCAGTCCAAAAAAGGTCCAATGGAAGGATTTATTTTCCTACACTATCTCAGAAGCAGGTTGCGTAATAGTTTTGGATTGCGAGGCCTATAAGCATGGTTGGCGGCATCAGTGTCCTGAGTTACCTGTTAACGTGACCTCCACAGGGACAGTCACAGGGGGCCTGTGCCTACGGATGGACCGTGAGTGGCTTGCACTGCACAACCCACAGCTCCATCCACAAACATCATATCCTAGTGTAAACCCGAAGGAATAAGACCGGAAGGCATGTGGATGGGAGCTATGTTTCATCAACGGAGCTGGCCCACACTCCTTCACAGGCAAACGGAAGCACGCTGTAATTGGGAATCAATCGCACACAATGCGATGGCTTGACCGTAGTCCGTTCCAAACTGAGTGCATGGAACCACTCTTTGAGCCTAACACGGCCAAAAGAACTGTGCACCCCGTCCCCTCCAGCAACGACTATGTGTCTGCTGGAGCATGTAGAGATGAGGTAGTGGGTAATAGACAGGTATGCACCTTGTCAACATGTACATCAAGCGCGAGTACACCGGGGATGTCAACCAACAGCCAATCACTTAAAATGTGAATAACACAATAGTTATGGAATAAAGCAAACCGATAAATCGAATTAACTCTTCGCCAAATGAGCATAGGTAATAAATTTGTTACCAACAAATCCGCGATCGGTGAAAGATGTCAGAAGATTTACATTTCTAAATGCCACAAAAGCGAAAATTTTAGCACTTAACCACCATTAGCTTAAACAGCGTGTGCAAGTTCTGGTAAACGTTAAGATGAGGTAAAAAAGAGAGATGCATTGAGGCACGATAGCAAATCCACCACCTGAAATGTAAAAAATAAGCACGCAAGCACGCAGCTAGTAAATTGAGTGCAGCGTACCTAAAAACGCTGCGCCGGTTCTGCCTACATTCTCAGCAGGACACGTCGTCGTTTCGATTCTAGTCCCGAGTGGTCTCGCTCGTGGCTTACTAGGCCTGCTTAACTCAGGCTTTCACGGCTGCATATGCTACAGTATCATGCGCTCGATGTCGATGGAGTGCACCCGATCTGCGAATGTCGCTTCCGCACTTCCCGTTTTTTCTCTGCATTCCAGATGGATTTCTCTTGCACTTCGACAACGGCCTACGTGATCAGATCGCGCCATGCACGCCGATCAACCGCCTTCGATTCCCATGACCTGCGAGCAACAGTAGAACGTGGTTGGTTCAGTTTGATCGTGTGCTGGTAACGGAGCTTCGGTTTCGCCATATGCCGATTCCTCACACTCAGTTGACCATAAAATAGCTGCTTGGGTATCCGAGTCGAATCCATACGTCACACATAACCGAGCCACCTCAAGTATCTCAGCAGAAGTATGCAGTCCACTGCATACATTCCACTTCAGCGCAACACTTCCATGTCCGCAACTCCGTCGAAGCAAACAATGCGCAGAATCCGTTGGAGACACTGTTGATGAAACCGCTCGAGATATCGTGCATCCCGCCGGTACATCGTCCGCGTTTCGCTGCCGTATAGAATAACGGATAACACCATGGATTTGTACACCATCAGCTTCGCGCCAACGGTACGTTGGTGGTTATTCCCCACTCGGTACTCAATATTCCCAAATGCCGCCGCTGCCTTCGATACTCGGATACGCAGCTCACTGTGTATCTGCTGGTCAATCGAAACCACACTCCCAAGATAGCAGAAGCGGGAGTTGGTTTCCAATACTCGGTCACCAATGCTGATTTGCGGTAAAATTGCAGGTTGCAACTCCGGTGAAGGCTGAAGAGATGTAAGAGACAGGGCAGTGGGTGAATTAGAGGTTCGCTTAAGGGACTATACTAGGATTCTTTGGCTTAATAGCCGGACCCAAATGGTAAGGAGTGGTTCGGTGGTTTACTTGAGGGACTCCGCCAGGAGACCTTGACTCAATAGTCTGACCCACAAGGCAGTGGGGAGCAGATCCAGCTGGAGAACGTGATTGCAGAGATAAAGTGAGATCTGCTTGAGGTCCGTCACACGCAGCGTTTGCAGTTCTGGAATAATTAATTTGTGTTTTGTGACCGTAGTAAGCTACACACCTGCAAACATGGCTAGACGCAATAGGGTTTTGGCAGTAGTAAAGCTTTGAGCACCCGGAGGTGCCGTTCAACCGTCAGAGACAATGCGTGGCGCTCGTGCTCTACACCAACCGGGCGGTGAGCATAAAACATGTGGACCTGTTGTTTCCCATGGCTAGATTTTATGGGAAGTGGGCCATCGACCACTTCATAACCTCTGAGGAAGATGGGGTAGTATATCGGCAGGGCATCCACACCTGACAAGAAAACTACTCGGGTCCTCAGCGAATGCGTTCGAATAAATGTACCCCCGAAAGGCAACGGGTCTAGCACATGGTCAGTTCACTTACTCCGCGCGGGTTGTTGTCCTAGCTCTTAGCTAGGAGCAGGGCGTAACCCAACTCCCACCCAGCGGTTACCACGAGGCGGATTCCAGGACATGAGCCCATGGCATAGCAGTAGCAGCACTGGGTAGACTACCTGTCAGGATTTAGCCACCACAAGACTCAGAGCACCATAGGTTCTCCCGCCTGCCCATAAACATAAGCATTAAGTTATTCACATACTTAATGTTTGCTGCAACCGGCTTCTGCAGTTATATTTAAATAGCACTGATAGTTATCGGAAGTTAGTGTATAGGATGTGCGTGTTCGTGCCACAGGTAAAAGTATGTTTACGTTACCATTGCGGTTGAGTAGGACTGCAGATATGAAAAACCTACTTGTAAGTAAAAGTATGACATAATGCGCTAATAATGTATAGAAGCTATCTGTAAGGAGAAAGGATGATATCAACACGATGGATTTCTTCGTTAGTATTCCAGGACAATTCTCTGTAGTTAGATAATTGAAGCTGGTTAGTTTCTTACAACAACCTGAAAAGCATAGCATGGAAACAAAAGATGGTAAATGCATGCGTTTCATGCCATCTATATATATATATATATATATATTTATATAATTGATGTGCCCCATTCTGAGGCAGGTGTTGCATTCATGATCCTTTTTCACTGCAGTCGGGCTAAACCAACTTACACTTAAATTAGGTCTCTTTTTAAGCTGGATAAATTTCATTCCCCTTCATTTGATTTGTTCTGCCTACCGGAATAACCTACTATTAAATTTCCACGTCGCTTACGGTAATAGTGCTCATCTTCGTTAACTTTATTACGTTTGTAGCATTTTCTGAGTCACTTCTGGACATTTTTTAATTATCGCGGATTCGTTGCTAACTAACATATTTCATATGCTAATTTAGGGAAGAGTTATGTCTGCATAGCCGTATTCTTTAACAGATATATTTTATTTGTTACTGTTATTTCAAGTGATTGGCTGTTGTTTGACATCCCCTGTGCGGCTGCGCTTGATGTGCATGTGGACAAGGTGTCTACCTGTCTATTACCCACTACCTCGTCCATACTGTCTCTAGGAGATAGTTGGTCGTTGCTGGAGGGGACGGGGTGCACGGTCCTTGTGGTCGTGCTAGGCTCGAAGAGTGGTTCCATGCACTCAGAGTGTAGCAAACTATGAGCCAGCCACCGCCTTGTGTGCGCTCGATTTCCACTTACAGGGTGCTTGTGGTTGCCTGTGAAGGAGTGTGGGCCGGCTCCATTGATGAAACCTGGCTCCCATCCACATGCCTCCCGGTCTTATTCCTTCGGGTTTACACTGGATGTGGGGTGTGTGGTTGGAGCTGTGGGTTGTACAGCGCAAGCCACCCATGGTCCCTCTGTAGGCGCAGGTGTCCTGTGGCTGGCCACAATGACAGGCAAATGCGAAACCGGATGCCGCCAACCATATATGACTGAATAGCTGTGATCAGGCAAGCTTGCGATGCAAGTTATTTGACAGATCTTCGGTTCCATAGCAGGCTAGGGATTAAAGCCCAAAGCTTTGATATCTCAGGAATAAGTTTGTTCGACTTATTTAAACAATAAAAGCGAAAAGTTGAATCAAGGACTACTGGAACTCCACTAAATTGTACACTGGGCCGAGCACTCTTCGGTGGCACTTTCCCAGGGATGGGTTTGTCAATAAAGGGACGCACTGGGTCACGTGGGCACGGGGATGAATGAGGGACGGATGCCAGCCAAGAACGCATAGAAACCCTTTTAGTAATATTTTTATTCTATAAATAAAAGTCCCACCTTTCAGCGGTCTGTGCACCTGCTATTGCAAATTTTGCCACTTAGCACCAGTCTAGTAACATTGCTGCTAAAAACGCTAATGAACATCAGTAAGATGTTAGTGATGAGGTTACAAGTTCCCGGACTATCTTGTAAGTGAAAGTTGTAAATAGTTCAGCAACAGCAGTTTAATAACATGACACTTGATAACTCGTTCTCATCGTAACCCCTATTTTGTTTCTGAGCAAGTCGCTGCAATAGTGACAGAGGACAGTGTCTTCTGGCCTGTACTGGACTCGTGATATGAGATCCAAAGTCGAGGTCTGAGCCAAATGTTGATTAACGGGACACCGTCCTCTTTTTGTGTCTGAAACGATGAGTTTGTTTTCACACTATGTCACGACCTAAACCTATTAATCACAATGTAGACTGTCGATGCAACCATGGCACCGTGCAACAGTCACGGGACGAACGCCGGAATGTTCAACAAGTGAGGGGATCAAGCCAATTAATGTGATACATCTCAGAAAGATTATGCCGTAGTATTTTTGCTTCTTGATATATTTCTGTGCGAATTACTGGTTAAGGTGTGGCTTAAAATATATTGACCCGCTAGTCTAGTACACCACCTGTTATGGGAATGTCAAATACAGTACGTAAAATTTTCACACGAGGAGCGAAATGTTGACGCAATTTGAAATAAGAGTATTGGGGTATTTTGGCCAACATAGGTGCAAGTACTTCAAAGATTTATTGTTCCTGCTGAAACTGCTGCAATCATAAATCCATAAGATGATATCCTAGATCTTCCGCCTGAACACCGTTTCCAAAAACAAATTAAGCACTAGATACCTCAAGCAGCTTAGCTTAATAGCAGAAGGAAATTTAAGGCAATTAGCGAGAACAGCATCTGATTGTTGTCCTGTCCAGTCAATTTGTTAGCGTTGACTATCTCGTGTAAAGGTGCTCCCGCTTGTGTGACTCCATGATCTTTGCCCACAAAGCCCTAATTTTATGTGCTTTCTCCAGCAACACTAATTTATTAACAACGAGCGCTACAGCGTTGGGGGCGGCAAAATTAGGAAAGAATCGTCATCATATTCAAGCTATACTGACTTACCAGAATGGTTAGCAGGGAAGATTCATGACTGACTTCCCATGAAAACAAAAATTCCTGAGTAATCGGTGCTGTCGCATGGCAATGAATAGGTTTAGCACAATAAAACTCTCCGACAAACGCTACGAGTTTGTTGCTGGTTAAAACCATCTAACTGTACCTTGCCCAACCTTTCAGTTGTTAACATTTTGATCGATGAATGCATCACATTACCTTATACTTAAATTTGAGTAAGACCTATATTGCTCACAGCTAGAAGGATTACCTATATGCAGGAGGGAGATGACAGTCTAAGTATGGACCATATTAAGGCAACTGACTAGTCGTTGGAATGCGATAAAACTAAACTGTGCATGTTTGTCGGTTTAGGGGAACAGCAATAAAAAACTGTCCGTTCACTTCAGATTAGTTGTACTATAGAAGACTTAGTGTATAAAGCAAAAAACAATTCGGGTAAGGTAATAAGCAATAAGTTGGAGCTTACAGTTCAACCGCCCACGAAGTTTCAACAAGCAATAGACCAGGTTATTAAAACGCGCGTTTGGCCAAACGCTTGCGAAAATAAACGCCCACACAACTAATATGAAAAGAAAATCCTTATGTTTAGGCTAAATAAGTTAAGGATTGTTCGTGTTGGCAGATTCGAAGTTTTATAGATTAAACTTTTAATCACTGCTACAAGAGGCATTCGCGTGTCCGACTCCTTCTAAATATTGGTGTTGCTATGTTACTAGGGGTTTGCTTTTGCATCTGTGTTGCTTTAATAAGAGAGGACAAAATTCTGATAGTTGTTACATTTCACAAAATAATGCTACATCATTTTACTACAAACTTTTGTAACTGGTCTCCAACCAGCAACCTCTATTTTACAACTGGTAGTATATCGCTTACTTTATTCATGCAAAACAAAGAATAAGCCGACAACATCCTCATTTGAGTTTACCGCTGAAGAGTGGGCCGCTTTATCAACGCAGAAATAATCATCGAGACAGTTTATTGCGTAAATGGCGGTTTCCAGTACACTGAAGTCTTCATGCCCAATGTTTCCCATGCTGAGCTTTCGGTAGCCCTCTAGCTCACGAAAAACAAGAAACTTATGAAATCGATTGATGTGGTGATAAGAAACAATGATCTCAAATTCGTCTAGCTTACGACCTTAGCATTAGAGATGGTAACTTCAACACGGTTTGCCAACTTTTCTTACGCGTTGTCAGAGCAACCACTAAAAACTATAGTAATGTATCCGTTTGGTGCATGCGCTGAGTCGACCATATCGCTGACGGGATCAACAGCAGATAAATCATCCAACCGGAGTTGAGAAAGTAGCGTATGCATGAATCCAACTGACAACTCACTCATAGTGTGTAACCCATCGTTTCGCTTCCGGAGATGGTGTCCAAGAAATATTGAAGGCTCCAAACCGATATGGAACAATTTGGAGGTTTCTGGGTTGCGCTATTTGGGGGTCGAATTGCTCAATTGAATCGGCTGGAATAAAGAAATTTCATGTCAATATTAGGGTCAACTTTAAATGTGATAATAAAAATAAGGCAACACAAGATTTTTTAACGTATAATCGTTTTGGGTAGTCCATTATACTGAACAGTTTGAAAATAATGCAGCTAAAAAATGAAACATGAAAAGCTTATGCAATTCTTAGCGACTAATGCGGCAATCTTCTGTTGATGATATTGGTCACAACAGCACGGGTAAATCATTTCATTTGCCGGCCAACTCGAGGATTGGCAACCTCAACATAATTTTATTTTTGGGCTTATAACTTCGCAGTCCAAGTTCGTTTTCGTCCTCTGCTGCGCTCGATGAGTAGAAACAGCAGTAGCGCGACTCCAACCCGGGACTGTAGGACATCAGGGGAGTAGATGCCACTGAGTCGAAAACCACTGTGACTAGTGTTGCCCTCCGCAACTACATGGTGTAGAAGTAGAAATTTTGGCCAGCATCCCAGTCACTGCTGCGGTACATCTACCTTATGATTGCAGTGAAGCACAAGACCTGTCTTGTAGTGCAATGTTGAAAGAGGACACATGTGCAATTCATCCGCTTCAGATGCGATCTCAAAGAAAACAGCCAAATTTTGTTTCAGGGTGATGGAGTGTTGCGATTCACTTACTCGAGCACACAGAATGAACTCCATCAAAGTTTTTTTTCTTTGGGGTAATATAACTAACCTTTATCCCTACTGAATACATAAAACTGAACTACTAAGTTCTATATAATAAATGAGTGGCAAGAAATCTCAGAGATTAAGAGGGATTCGCATACCAGCTTTTCCCTGGTTCACTAATCACACTGATAGCCATAGAGTTCACAGACTTATTCTTAAAATGTATCTCTCCTGCACTATTCATATATAACTATGCAGAATATAAGTATTTGAGACGGTTTTCCTGCGACAAAGTAAATGATTACTTCCATTCCTGTAGAGATCAAGTTTGCTCTTTGGTAACGCCACACTTGAGTAAAATCATGCGATGAAGTTTTTGAGGTCCTATTCCATTTGCTAACCAATATGTTTATGTGTACCGGCATGCAATGCCGCCCCGCTAGAATGTATTCGCTAACCGGTATCTGACTAACTGATCGCTTGTCGGCAACCGAATTTGTCTCGGTTACTAGTGTCGTTGCTTAAGGAGCTTGTGTCGCAAAAGATCAGGCGCTGAGATGTCAGTTACAATGCAAATATCAGGCAAGGGGGAAGCTTGCCTTTTAGTTCTGCCAGCAAATAGCTTCAGGGAAATGCATGCGTTCATTGTAACTATGAGATAACATTACCTGAGAATGATCGTTTTATCCGAGGCCTAGTCGGCAAACCGATAGGCGCCTGTATTCTGTATGAAGGAATAAAGCAACAGAAAGGTTAACAAATGTGCGCCGTGACATTACCATGAAAAATGACTAAGTTTTCTCACTTTGCCCCCTACCGCAAGAACAACGGGGAAATAGCTGTATCAGAGCATATGTGTGTGATGGTAGCTGGAAGATGAGACGAGTGAGCTTTGATGACCCCAACCCGACCTTGATCACAAGTGTCTGTGGCCCCAACCTAACATCGCTTACACACGTCGATGCTCCCAGCTGACCCCGATTATACATCGATAACTACGGACCAAAATCACACGGCGCGATAGTGGCTGCCAAAGCTTGGTAATCAAACTGACAAAGTTCTGTGTTGTATAAAATAACGCTTTGTCTGGGTGCAAAAGATTTTGACCGCTGCCCGTACTCCGTTTTGGATTCCCGGAGAGCCACTCGACAATGTGAAGCAGAATGTTGGGTTTTGCCGTACCCGCTGTGTGTCTAAAATTGCAAAACCCAACATTAAAATTCTAACCGCTGTACCAAACGCTTCTCGCAAAGCTCAATAATCTAGTGATCATGATGATAGCTCCCAAACACAATGTGCGAGTTCTATTCCCGGAAAAGGCCATCTCTACCTGAGGAGTCCAAACATGGATGAAACGCGTTGTGGAGTGCATGGTGAAGAATATTTTTGGTTGTTGAGTATGATGTCAGAGCACGGCAAATGAATGACTAGTACTGTGGGTAGCTCGCTCTTGCTATCAATAGTTCCGCTTTTTCGTCAAAGCAGTGGTGTAGTAATCTAAGTCTAAATGTTATGTGTGCATTGCCTACAGGCAAAAGGTAAATAACTTTCTTTCAATTACAAATAAAGTAATACATAAAAGTTGTAACTCGTAAATTATACCCATGGAAATGCAAGAATGCAATTTTGCGGAAGGTACTCTTTTCCACAAACACCATCAAGCATTTATGATTATAAAATTTAAAGGCAGGACACAATTAGCTGATGAAGCCAAAGAGGTGGGAATAGTGGAATCACGGCAAACAGAAACACAAAAGTCCTGATCAACAAAGTCCACTAACAACAAATGTGACAAAGCATGTGTTGGCTGATCGGTGGAATGCCAAGCGCATCATCCGACCACTGTAGGCGCACGAAGTGATGCAATTTGGTAAGCTAACTAGGGCCAAGGTAGAAGAAGCCCTTGCAGCAAAGCCTTCTGTTTGCATAATTCTGGTTGAATTATTCTAATCGCGATAGCTTCGGCCATTCGTAAGATTTGCTTCCTAAGACCTTTAGTGTACCGTGGCTGTACTACATAAAGTAGTTGGAAGGCATCATCGGTCCTAACTCGGTGTCCGCTTTCCTCCAGATGTTCCAGGTTGGAAGTGTTGGGGAGACTGACGATGCCTTTCCGCAAAGCTGCTGGGCAGTGTTCTGCAATGTGTTTAGACAGACGCCTGGTTGTGTGTTCCAAGTACCTCGCACCACAGGCTCAGGTAAACTGATATGATGTAAGATTGGGACTGAACCGGAAGTCTGTCTTTAACGCGTTGGTCTATAAAGGACGTGTGGGCATGCGGCCGGGAAGGTTCGAGCCACTGCACTGGAAATTCTTCTGGTCAACAGATCAAAGGCAACATCGCCCTTAAAGGGAACTGATAGAAACACATCCTTCTTAGGGACAATAGTAATCACTTCACGGCTATCGCGGATCACCGCATACTTTTTGATGAATGATGTTGGGTAACCGTTATCTTGAAGTATTTTGAGAATACGGATCTTTTCGGCCTCTAGCGTCTCTTGGCTGAAAATTTGCATAGCACGAAAATACAAGCAGCGAACAAGAGTACGTTTGTACCTCAATAGTGCAAAGCTCAGAAAATGTGTATATTGGCCTACCCAGGTGGACTTCGGGAATACACATTTCCAGTGAACCGTCATTTCTTCGGCTTAACAACACGTCCAAGAATGCTACCTTACCATCTCTTTCGGTTTCGATAGTGAACTTCAACGATTGATGAACACCGTTTAACTGGCTTAACAGGTTGGAAACATTGGTGTATGAGTCGACAATTGAAATCAAAAGAAGCGGTGATGGGTCGTATAGCTTCACGCTCAATCATAGCGAGGAAAATATCAGCAAGGAGTGGTCCTAGAGGGGACCCCATCGCAACACCGTCAATCTGTCTGCAGTAGACTCCATTAAATAAAAATTGTCGATTGAAAGTACACGGTAAAATTAATTCCTTCAGTTTCCTCACCGGAATACCCATCTATGTTCTTTTCATTCACGTAACCACATACAAAATTGACAGTTTCCATCAATGGAACATTCGTAATATATGACTCTACCTTCAGAGAGAGGGTCGATTCGCCATTTATTTTCATGCATTCTACTCGTTTCACAAATTCAAATGTGTTTTTCACGGTGTATGTATATAACTCCTTGCGTACTGGTTCGAGCAAACCAGCAAGTCATTTCGCAACCGAGTGAGTAGCCGAGGCTGACATGTCGATTATCGGACGCAGAGGGACTTGTGGTAAAAATCAATTTATCGCACTGCAGTACGCTTTGCCAAATGCCTAATTTGTTGAATATTTACTCTTCATGGGTGCATAAGATACACTCTTGACTTGAATTATTTGATCAGACTGCATACCGGAGTTTACTACTTAGAGTGCTTTAGGTGAGAAACCAGTGTCTGACTTTGAAACTAAATGATATTTGTACACATGAGAAGTTTTACACCGAATACTGGTTTACCATATACGAAATGTCTTATTTTGTTTGGATAATTGATAAAAGGATTCTAGACCTACTGACTTTACCCCAGTGACATCTAGCAAACTATCTATTAATATAGGTTAACCTCAACACGGTACAATGGCCAAGACTAGGGAAAGCACTGGCTATTTATAGAATAATACCGATTGTCCCATCCTGTGATACCTTCATCCTGTTCAATGATCCCCTGGCTGTGATTCTCGATCATTTATCCAACTTATCCCAAAACCTTTGTTTTCCTGACTTGTTGCACCTTAGGTTGCCGACCTTGGATTATTTACGCTTATTTTGCACTTTGATAATGTGGACGACCTATATTCACTCACGTTTGACCTACTTTTCTTCGGAACAAACTATTGTCATTTCACATAGTAACGCCCGATGTGTTATCGGTGCACTTATAGTTGCAAGTTCTCCACTGTGCTCACCACTGTTCACCGCATGTAACCTGTCAATATTTCAGTTGTGAATGAAGGTCACACATTGAAATCATTTAGTCTGATAGGTGTACTGTTTGTTCCTCCTCGTGTAGATTTGACGCACAATAACACCACTGTAGGTAACGTAAGGATTCTCATACCCACGGTTGATGATAGCCTCCCCTTCCTGACTGGTACTGTAAGCAGTTTTAAGCCAGAATAAATTGAGAGATTGATTCCTCATGTATCTTAAACTTGTTGGCTATTATTATTTTCGTAGAAAGTAGAAGCCACGAATAAACTTCGCACAATAATCTGCCTCGACGGGGAATCGAACCACGGACCCATGGGGTTCGATTCCCCGTCGAGGCAGATTATTGAGCGAAGCTTAATCGTAGCTTCTACTTTCTACGAAAATTACACTACTCACAAAATCCACAAGTGTTATGACTGTCGCCGTTGTTGAGACGTCTGTGTCGGAAGCATAGATTATTGAGGTATCGTATATTTGTTGTTTTTAAATTGATTGCCAATAGTACCGTATTGCAGTTCCGGTTTGTTCATTGTTGAATCCGATGGAAACGCGTTCACACTAGATTTCCAAGCGATTTCTCGCTTACATTATCTATAGGCCATAATATAGATAAAGCCAATAGCAGTCAAAAAATGGAAGAAGAGACTTGAACAGAATAAAAATTAATTTTATTACAGTACATGCAATTGTTTTTTTAGCGCCAGATAAAACCGCTGGCATCTGCGTTTAAGAAACACACTATTGCCGTTTCATGGTCCGACACTATTCATTTCTGTTATAAATGTGAATGATAATAGCATCACAATTGGTTAAAACAATAATTTGGCATGATATCTAGTTTAATTGCTTCCAGTACACATTGAAGGAAAGTGAATTAAACCACTTCTTGGCACCGTCCCTTTCCATTTGTTGGCGAGACAAACAGAGTTTTAAGCTATTAAGAGTATGCACCACAGCTCCTTCGTCGTACTCTTGATTCTTTCTAAATCTTTGCACTGCTTGCTTCATTGAACAATGGAATCGATGAGCTGACTGGAGACAGAATAAATTTCTATTCGACTAGAGACAAACTTTACTTTCCTGAATAACAACTGTTAGTTTTCTTCATGGCTTGATACCAACTTACTGGTTAGTGTTATAATTTGTTTTCTAATTATATTTCTGCCGTTAAGAAGTCATTCGCATATCTTGAAGTAATATTTGATTAGGTAACTTTAAAAAGCAAGTACCAAAAATGAAATGAACGCATTCTGCATGCCTTTCCTCTGAGATTTCTCAAGGGTAGAAGGTGAAAATTCGTTCTTTGTTTAACCAAGACTGAAGCATGAGTAGAGTATTGTGGACTAAATTATGGGCCTATGCTGCTTGGCAATGGTTTAGTTTTGTTCATGATCATGTCTCTGTTTGTGATTGTCATTAAATGTTACCAATCCTTTAAATGGTGTTATTAAGAAATTTGCAGCTGTTTTATCAGTATTTCATTTTACTTTGACGAACTGGCCATACTGTCCTGAAAATATGTTGCAACGCAACAAAGTCTGAGTTTGAATAAGAAAAAGCAGCTATTCAACCTATCAGATCGGCATCAGTCGTCAGACTTTTGCTTACTGAAATAACCGATATAGTAAAATGAGAACTTTGATGACGTGTGCGAGGTACCTTGTAGTTGCATTCCAATATTTCGGGCAGCAGGCACGGAGTAAGCAGTTTACTTTTTTGTACTAGTTAGTTAATTTATAACAAGCAAGAACAGTAGGGCTATCAAAGTCATATCATATCTTTCACGGATGGCTTCAACACGAAGCATTGGAGTCATCACATCTACCGGTCGTTTTGCATTCTGTCCGTACTTCAAGTTTTGGTCTATTTATTATAAGCAAGAATAAATTCGAATTATACTAACATTTGTGGTAAATACCCAATAAATCCGGTGGATTATTCTCCCAGGTTTTTCGGATTCCACTACTAATATTTAGAGAAGCATTTGTGATTGGAGAAACGATATATGCCTATGTCGTATTCATCGAGATTCATCGTATTTAGCAAATTAACTACAGCACGTGTACGCAGAATGTTTGTACTATATTTGAAAATTGTGTTACCTCTAGTAACTGAGCTAAACAACTGAAGTTGGAGTACGTTTAACCGCGTCCAAGATGGGTAAATTCTTCTAATCCATTGGGTTTTGGTATTGCTTCTCCCAACATTGACATCCCAAAGCCGCTTTCGACCTCCTTTGGACTCATCACGAGGAGACAGCCTAAGCTGAAATGCTGGGCCTAATTGTTTACAGCTGATGCCTTGAGCACCATGCTACTAAGACCCTTGGGTAACATTTGGCATAACCGTTAAAAATTTAAAGTTGGATCTGGAGTACCCGCCGAGTAGTTGGAATGCCGCAAAAATCTCTGTTGAGACCTCGGTTTACTTCGAAGTTGATCTCGGCCATTCCGATCACCAAGAACATAACCCATATTTAAGCCTTTCAATTTAATAGGGATGTACTTCTGGCTCATGTATGTGACCATGATGGTTTGGAGTTTCTTCTCCAGAGCAAGATGAGACGTGTAAGTTGATAAAATTGCCAGTAGCAACGTTTCATCGTATGTACATTCTGGACAGCATTCCATCCAATTAGATTTCTTTCTTAGCCCTCAACCCACGATGAGTCATGGACCAACGTGAGCATGCGCGCTAGGCAGTTTTTCACAATAAGGACCTTTGTTCCAATTAGCTAGCGTTGGTCATCGATGATATACGACTTATGGGGAAGCTTAGGTAGACTTCCAGTCTTCCTTCTGTCATTTGTATGGCGAGCCTTTTGTGAGAGAGATATCATTGGCATCGGCGTATTCCTTTTGTGTGCTTGAATGCCCTGCCTGTGCTCAAACCCCATGGGATGTCGGGCGCTTGGATTTAGGGGCGGATGACAATGGTAGCGTCTCTGAGATACGGTTACGTACCCCATTTTGATTTTCTGACTCACTTATGTTTAGCAATACTACATAAGCGTAGGATGCTTTTACAGAACTTGGGTAACTTAGTCGGTCAGTTGTATTAATTAAAGCTACGTGGTTTGATACAAACAATTAATGTATTGTTCTCATGAATGGAGTCCACTAACTAACTAGACCCTTCATTCAATGAACAAAGAAAGGAAGATGATTTTAATGAATAAACGGAGCGTCCAGTGTTCCGGTCATTTGCTTAGCCAGTGAAATGGAAACCTATGTAGATTAGTCCAGATATGGCAGAGGATGTACCCTGTCATCTAACAGAAGTATCCATTGTTAACTTACTCAAGCTCTTCGTGGAAGTATGCCATATTCTACCTAGAATTATACGCGTAATTCACCGTCGTCATCTTGCAGCAAGCTACCTTCTAGCAGTATTCCAAAAAGTTAGGTTACATTTCTGGACAGGCCCTTCGATTTTGTTTCTGGAGGCCCGCCACATTTCCCTGGATGTTATTGGCGGTACTTTGTAGCTACATAAAGATCAGCACAGTTACTTGGTACTCTACAATTGGTAACTTAATAAAATGAAATGATTCTTTCCCATGGTACCACGGAAATAAGAGATGTTAGCTAGGATCAGGCTGAAGAACTGTTCAACGTCTGGTCTTGCTAATAAATGGCGAACGAAGAGCTATGCAACAAGACTAGGAAGCAGCGTTTATTGACTAGTAGTAATTTTTTGTGTTTTTGGTTTAACACGGCTTCACTTTGATTGTATGCCACATCAGAATTGGCGTGACAAAGAGTCCATCCCCTTGGTTGCAAACACTTAAAAATGAAGGCATGCTTCATACACTAATGAGCCTCAAGCTCTGCTTTGTACTCTCTGAACATATTTATGCTTCTCTTAAATTTCATTAAAATATGACAAATAGGGCAGCAAAAATTCCATAAAACAACAAAATTGGAAGTTGCCAAATTTCTCAACGTGTTCATTGTAGTGGATAAACGTTTACTAATACATTCAGTTCACCTATAAATTTGGAAAATCTGTACAGTTTTTTGAAGTCTATCAACTAAACTGCATTTGTTTGTCAAATTCTAACACCTGGCTTTGAGCACTCAAGTGTTTACTCAATGTGTTCCTATTACGCGGTCGTCAATTGCTGATTTTTCTTTGATAATTGATTGGTGTAGGGTATTCCATCTCCCCTACAGAAATTCAATTAATCCGATAGAGCGTTCTAACGGTGAAGTATTTTTCCGAGTAGAGGTTAACACTAGATTTTACCGGCTACTCAAAATCTTTGCAAGTCTATAAGACCAATTTCTGCCAACTCGAAACACGATGAGGACAGAGAAACCTTCCCATTCTGAATAGTTCCAGTAGTCGTCTACAAAAGATAACATCGATGTATATACAGAAACGATTTGGGAACAGCTTTTTAAACATAAATATAACCCCTTGTCCACTTAACGGATTCACTGGATTTTAACGGTACATAACTGATTTACGAGCTGCTAAGGAAAATTGTTTTATCCATATTTCAGAAATTATGCGGTATCCTTGAGTGTTACAAATAAGCTGTATATGCAGGTGTCAAAATATAAATGAGAGCAATAAATTACGTTTGTTAACTGAGTTTGGCTGAATGAAGAGATGTCATGCCTTGAGCATTTTGCAAGAAAAACGCACATTCCCAGCTATATTGACAGTTGAAACCTGGAAAAAATACTTGAGTTTGCAATATTGGCTAAGATTTGGGATCAGATGTAATCAGAACCAAGATTGATGGAACCCGGGTATGAACCCCCAGAAATCAACTGGTTTATATTGTTATCAACAGTTTTTGAGAATAACCTCTAGCAATCAAAATGAAAAGGCAGCTTTGAAAATACAGTCACCACCCGACTCAACTACCCCAGACGGCCTTTCTTTCATATTGAAAGACGCATTTTGCACCGCCTAGTGACATTAAATACTTGTGATACTCAGTGCCACAAACAGCTATACACCGACCGTTTAACAGCGAAACTGCTCAGCAATTAACAATTTGATTGAATGCTACGGGGCTTGTTCCATTTTCTATTATGCGAGGGAACTTGAGGTTATATCTCCGTTTTTCTTGCAGATGGTTCTCAGCTTCATTGATAAAACCGAGAGTGTGAAGAATATGAGCACTCAAAAATGAGTAAAACTGATTATTTTGAACTATTGTTAACGGTTATTTGATTTAAACACCATCATAATGTTTCCTCTAACACCATTGTTTCCTTATAAAAAAACAATTAGATTGTTAGTTTTAGTGTTTTGATATCGTGTTAAACATGTATATTTCATTTCATCATCAGCCCTAATAAACGAACTGAACTCGACCGTTGCGGGTACACGATATCTTTTTCAGACAACGCACATCTGAATATTGCTTGTATTCAAACCCTTCAACATATTCGTGTGAGGTCCATCCAGATAGTACTCGTGACCAATCGACGGCAGGGCTATCAAAACATTTCACGCGCACTTTGATCTACGTGAAATCTATCATCCAACAAAAAGCATAATGATATGACAATTTAGGGCTACACGTTTTTTACTTACCCGTTACTTTGAAAGCATTTGCGCTCCATTTTCTTGGTCTCAGGCATGCCCGTTGCTAAAAAGTTAATGAGAAAATGAATAATCCATGTGCAACCGAAAATAGCTTATTTGTTTTAAGTTTAGGCTTATAAGTCCTACAACTTTGGATCTTGTCACTCACTTTATTGGTATGGTACTAGGTGCCTAATGAACACAGTCATTATTCGACTAGAGGCTTTTTGAGGTACTTGTTTCGTAATTAGATTGCGACGCGCAATTTCAATATGGAGCGTGATTCGCATGAAAGCGAGGCTTAGCCATTTCGATCACTAAAACAAGCGTTGCTCGTCGTGTCTCGGTAGACAAATAGGTAGGCGCTGCAACTAACTTCGAGGCGTGCTATCTGTATCTGATGAGTTCAAGCAAGATCATAATGCCTACCGGAGTGAAGTGTTTTCGGGCAGTCACGTACGCAGTCACTCTGGTTGTACGACTTTTGACCTTTTAATAGCTGTTACATGATTCGATTTGGCGAATCATTTGTCTAACAAATTTCATGAGCTTCAGGGTAACGACCGTATTATTCCCGAGAGAACACGTTTGTGGTTTGACGTAAGCGAATCAGTGAAATAAAGCTGCTTTCATTTATTCATAAAATGGAAGAAAGAAATATGCATACCCATTCTTTGAATCGCAGTTACTTTCCGTATACAAATGGGAAAGTAGCACTTGAATAATAATAATAATAATGTTGTAAATCGGAAGGAATATTGTCAGTCTCACTTCTAGCAGAACACGGTATGCTCTGACGCTTGTTTGAAGCTCCATGGAGATACACGAATTGAATGTTATAACGTCGAATCTCTGCATGGTACAACAGACTGCATTGTATCATAAGAATAGGTCAAACTACATCTAGTTATTTAAAAGTAAACAATGATCATGTTTTTCGTCTAAATGTAGTTGTTTTTATTGCGCACCATCGAAAATCTGTTTCACTTTGCCCACAAATAACCCGAGCAGTTCATTTGTTGTTTCAATAAATACTAAAGATGAGGAAGAGGGCTCCTTTTTACATCGGCATCAATGCGTGGAAGAATGCATTTTGATATAAAATGAATAATGTTATAAAATTATTTAACAGCAGCTCAGTGAGATGCGCACATTAATCGCGCCTTGGCGTTAATTTTCTGCAGACGTATTAGCCAGAATGTATCCAATAGATAGATGCTCGCTTATTTCTTGCGAGCACTAATTCCCGACACAGCACCCGCCGGAGGGTGACTTGGCGCCCACCAGCCTCGAACCAGCCTTGGACGCAGATCGAGCACATTGCTATTAGTTACCGCTGGAGAGGCTGCATCCAGAATTGTCGCTCGATTTGGAGCACATGTGTGGACACCGATCATGCACTTGTATGTGCTGACATGCGGATGCGCTTTGGCGGACGCCCACGACGACGCTGTGAGCGCATTGACACCAGCCAATTGACAAAGCCAGCTGTTCTGAATGCGTATCGAAGTACGCTGACATGCGAGTTGAGTAATCGCTCACAGAAGACAATTGTTGGTCACTGGTCACATGTTCGCCAGACCTTACTAGCAGCGGGCAAATCCTCATGTGGTATGTCTAAAAGCCAACATGGACATTGGGTCTCTTCTCGGTCTCTGGAACTTATCGACGCTCGCCGGCATATCCCGGCTGGAAGCGAGCACAATGAAACTCGCAAAGAGCTCCGGGCAAAACTCCACGCTAGCCTGAAGAGAGACCGCGAATCTTGGTGGTCTCATCGTGCTTCGGAGAAGGAAGTGGCCGCTGCCCTTGGCAACCATCGTAAGTTATTCCGTCTGATACGGGAAACGGGCAGCAGGAGACCTGGTGTTAGTGAAACAATTTGTAATGAGAGTGGACAGCCTATTCACAATTTGTCAAAACGTTTGGAGCGTTGGGCTGAGCATTTTGAAAAGCAATTTGATCGGCTAGAATTGTTCGATCCGCCGGTCACTGATCGCCCTGCTCCGTGGGCTGTCCCTTTGGATCCACCCTCTCGCTCAGAAGTCGAACGTGAGATCGGACTGTTGAAGTTGAACAAAGCCGCGGGACCAGATGATCTTCCTCCAGCCCTCTTCAAATTCGGAGGCTCTGCTCTTGTTGATGCTTTACATGAATTACTAGTGAAACTGTGGGAGCAGGAGACTGTCCCAACCGACTGGAGCCGCTCCGTTATTGTTCCCATCTTCAAAAGCGGCTCGCGCTCGGAATGCGGCAACCATAGAGAGATCAGTCTGATCTCCATCGCCTCCAAATTACTCGCCTCCATGATTCTTCACAGACTGACTGGCGCTCGTGAAAGCCAGGTTCGTGAGGAGCAAGCCGGGTTTCGTCGTGGTCGTGGTTGCATCGACCACATCTTCACCTGCGTCAGTTGTTGGAGCACCGCCACACATATTGGCGGCCCACCGTAGTCGTGTTCCTCGACATCAAAGGTGCCTTCGATTCGGTTGATCGATGTGCCCTTTGGAAGTGTTTACTCAGGAAAGGTGTACCCGAGAAATATGTAAATATTATCCAAGCATTATATGCGCGTAGCACGGGCAGAGTGAGGGTTTACGGCAAGCTGTCGCCACCCTTTAATATCTCCAGCGGCGTAAGACAAGGATTCCCTTTTGTCACCTTTCCTCTTCAGCTTCGCTATTGACAAAAAGTCATGGAGTTTGTATTTACAGGACATGACTTGGAAGGTGTGAAGCTACTCCCAGGAGAACGACTTCTTGACTTGGAGTATGCAGACGACATTGCCCTCATCTGTGACAGCTCCCAGACGTGCCAAGCCGCGCTGGACAGATTAGCACTGACTGTCAGCGGCTTCGGGCTTTGCTTTGCACCCTCGAAGTGCAAAGCTTTCCTCCAAGATTGGCAGGGATCGCCTCCTGTGCTGACCCTTGGTGGGGATCAGCTAGAAGTCGTTCAAAAAATTCAACTACCTGGGAAGTTGTATCAGCGCCCTTGGGATCGAAGACGAGATCACGAACCGTATAGCGAAAGCTCGAAGTGCTTTTGCTAACCTTCGCCACCTATGGCGGCGGCGCGACATCACTCTCGTCCTGAAGGGTAGTGTGTACAATGCAGCGGTACGTTCGACCTTACTGTACGGTTGCGAAACCTGGCCCCTAAGATCGGCGGACATGAAGAGGCTAGTTACGTTCGACCATCGGTGCCTTCGCAGTTTGGCTCACATCTGGTGGGAACACCGTGTGAGTAACGAGCGTGTTCGACGCATTGTTTACGACCCAGGAAAAGGATCTGAAACGCTCAGCACCGTTATTTCCCTCACAAGGCTCCGATGGCTCGGCCACGTGTTACGCATGCCAGCCCACCGACTCCCTCGACGTGCGTTGTTTGCTCACCGGGGATGTGGGTGGAAGAAGAGGAGAGGTGGCCAAGCGATGACTTGGTCCAGGGGAATGAAGTCCCTCACTTCGGAGCGAGCCTCGGTTGGAGCGTCACGGCTCCCTGGTTGGGGTCCAAAAGACGGTGAACACGTTTGGCTGGATACACTTGATGATATGGCAAGGAGCCGACCTCAGTGGCCTTCTTGCTGTGAGTTTCTTTGTCCCTCCCCATCCCTTTTAGCCTCCCCCTCCATCTAAGATCTCATTTCCTAGGGTAAAACATAATAAATCTTTTTCTTTCTGCCTAGTAGCTGGCTGGAAGCTTACCGGAACGATGCCTATCCGTTGCTGATAGCTCAGCTGGCATGTAACTGTTGTATCTGTTTTTCCTTTGTGTATTGTATTATATGTATGTATGTATGTATTTCCTTCATGTATTGCGGCACAATAGCGGTGTTTTCCCACCTCTAGCTGATATATATCATAATGATGATGAATAGATAATTGACTTCCCATTAATTGTGAGGACAAGTCCGTTTCACTATTCGCGCAAAAATAATAACAAACCCTATGTTAATTAAGGCAAATTTCAAACCAAAGACCTATACGTCTGTTAGATGAGCGGTTCTCTGAGCTTAGCAGTTCTTTTGCAAATGTTTCGTCACCAGTAGGTGTGACATCCTCAATGCTAGTGCGTAGTGCAATGTATTATACCGACAGGTGTGTGAACCGGGTGATCACGTGCATGCGCTTTTATAGTTCACCGTCATCGGCCGTTTGCGCACGTGACCTATAGAAATAGCCTCTTCGACACGTGCCTCGTGACCACGGCTGGTTTGTCATCGCTGCTGTGAATGTTGCCTGAGCTGTTGGTATGGTGTCCTTTTCAGTAAGTTTCTTCGACTGCGGTGGTGATCCCTTGCTCGTGGATTTACGTAGAGGACGTCCAACTTAAGGTGTCGTCTTGCAAATTTCTACCCTCTAGATAACTATTGCGATTTTCCAGTGTGTTACATTTGGTGCCAGATGATACCATATATTTTTGTGCATAAAGTTGTATTTATCCACCAGACCACGCTTCAAGCGAACGCTACCAATTACTAAGGCTTTCAATCGACAGCTATTCTTGTTGATTGCCCCCCGTGCGGCAGACCAACTCTTTAAGCTGCCAGAGCATGCTGGAAGTTTAACTGTGTTTGCGCATTTAGGGGCCAATGACTTTGATCAGGTAAACGCAGTTGTGAAGTAAACGGTTTATTAAGAGTTGATACCATATGTTTGAACGTTGTCGGTTTACTTGCTACTTATATCTTCATGTCTGATATTACCTACTCCATCTAGTGATGATGTTGCAATTTGTTACCTATTCAGTTGGCGTATCAGGTGGCTGATAACGTGATCTATTTAGGTGCTGCATTACTAAGTTCGACTTCTACATTTATCTCAGCCTGGATATAACATAACGGGAATATCGGAGCGGAACACATAATCGTTGCACATGGAAAGTAAACAAAAGTAACTCACTGATTCCAGAATCGCCTGATCTAGTAAGCTGCCGTGTAAATCGGTACAAACAGCACAAATTTCGGTCCACGCCCCGGTCAAAACAGAAGCAGCATGCCGATTTTTCCTGTACTATAACTCTGCCATTCTGTTTGGGTTGGTTCATTGATTGGAGCTTTGTCGTGTCGCAATGTAGCAAAACCTGACGCAATGTTAGAGTTGTTGGAGTCACAGAGAGGACATTATGATCAACAACGGCGTTGCATTTCGATATGGAAACCAGACAGCTTGAAGTGAAAAAATGTTTAGCTCGATAAAAAAAGTTATCTCTTGAAAGTAGCTTGCAGAAATCGGAAAAAGTAAAATGTGGTTCTCTACTAATAGAGCAATGAAAATGCAGCGGTAATTGCAAACAATGAGATTAAACGAAATACATGCATAAACAAATGAACAACACGCCATAAACAGTAGCCGGAAACCAGTAATTACGAATAGATTTCTGCGCAAAGACGACAATAAAAATTAAATGTGAATCTCTAGTAAATTCTTCCGCAACCATTCCCGACTTAAGTAATTAACAGCTTTCTGTCTTAATTGCTTTTAAGAATAGGAGTTTATATTTATTTCTGTATAATGCCGTTTATAATTTCGTAGGAGCACAGCATCGTACCATAACTTAATAACGCGATTGCAGATCCAAACGTCTAGACGGATAGATAGATGACTGAAGAATGGTTACAAGGTTTCAAAGCAAAATGATTGGAAAGCAATCGCTTGATTCCACTTTGGCATGCATAGTATGCTGTTTGCACGCCATTTAGCTCAATCTGTCGCGCGGCGGTTAAGTTTTCGCATGCGGAATGCAGACTATTTGTCTAGCAATATTTAACCAAAAGAAATTGGTTTACGATTGCAGATAAAACGCTTTTAAAAAATTAATTAAAGTTGCCAAGTTTGTTCAAATAAATTTGCGTGTTAACAACCTAGTGTGTTGTTAGCTCAGTGTGTTTTACTTAGATAATTCTGCTACACGTAAACATGAAACAAAAAATCAAAAGATGAAAATACTTCAAAAAAATCATTCCTACCTTAGTTGGCGTCACTAATAAGTTATTCCAAATACCCAATTTGATACTCTTCTCGTAAAGTTTGTGTTGCTACATAAATTTAGCATGCCATTTAGACCTCAGTAACAGACTTTCCTGAACGGGTTTCCATTTATACTTCGAGAGAATTGACCGTAAAATTCCTTATCGAAAGTATTGCGAATGAATTTCGACAGTTTAAACATATAACCTTATTCTTGTTTCACCTTTGTCCACCTGCCGTAAGCCGTTAAGCAAAATGTTCCAATAATGACCGCCAATTAGCTATCCGCGAAAAATCAGACCGTGATCAAAATTTAAACAGATTAATTCACTTTTTTCACAGTGTTAGGCAGTTCCGATAATGCGGAAAGCACCAGGTTGGTCCTTGCACATAACTGAAATTCCGAGTTTTTGTCAGGTCCCTATCTTTAGCTGGAAATTATCAACTCAGAGTTAACTGTGATCTAGGTCTTTACCAAAGGATATCAAGGATAGCCAGCTATGGTTAAAAGTTTTGCTCTTGAGGATAGAAAACGTGGCGTGGTAGACATGATATAAATCGTTAGTTCTTTTTGAGCCGGTCCGATGCGTCCAACTATTGAATGCTGCGTTTGTTTTAAAAGGTATTCATGCTACTTATCGTTTCCCATTATAAAGCGCACTGTTCACTGTTTGACGCTCGTCACGACTCATCCGAACAAGGACAATGTTTAATAAGTTGGGATAGATGAAGGAAGCTTAAACACCTGGGGCACGTTACTAGCGCCAGTGACGACCTGGAGTTGCTTTGATCCTAAATGGCGTTTAAAATATATGTAGACTATTTGCACTCCAGCAGAGATGAGTGCTTCTTTTAAATTTACACTGAACTGAGGGGTACATGTAAGGGCGTGCTGCAAGAAGCTAAGACTAGGGTAAAAATAAAATATGACCGCAGCCACTAACGGTATTCCGACTGCACACCCACTCATCACAATTCATGTGGTAATACCTAATTGAAATACCACCGTCTCTTAAGCGTTTTACCGACAGGCATTTAGTTGCACTGAAAGTTCTAAGAGTCAGCGAACTCTTCAGTACGCGTGGGAAAATAAAAGTGGTCAACTTAACCCAACACAGTACAACTGTCAGAAGTATAGTATATATGATGCACCGATAAAGCAAGGTTAAACGAAATCTAAGTCAACTAAAATAAGTGTCTAGTAAGTTAGTAGTTGGGGCAAAGTGGCTTACCAATTACAAAATGATGTGTGCAAGAGTATCCTTATTTGTGGCATTGGATCTATGTTTATCCTTTTATCCTTTTGCCATTATATCATAAGGAGGTTGTAGTAGTGGTAGTGCTTCTCTGGCATTGTGGACAAAATCGCGCTAGTTTCCGTTGCATCGGGATGCACAGCATTTTGATGTTTAAACCACTCAATTGCTTCTATCAGGATGAAGTTAATTCCCATGTACTAGCAATCAGAACACTGCAGATTTTTGCCCCTCTATTCATCTCGATCAGAGGAGTAACCAATTTTTTTAGCTGATTTTCATAACTCCAAAGCTGTAAGCCATTTAATTTTAAGTTGCACTGTGTCCCAGTAGAAACTCAGCCGTCAAATGCTACATTGTACCGACCTTAAGGTTTAAGCACATTCTCTGGCAGAACCGACAGATGGGCGTAGTTGTAGTCTTACTTTCTCATTTGTTAGTGAATCGATAACTTCTTATTTTATTTGGGATTACAATCATTGAAGAATACACAGCGAAAGCAGTGCATTATACGACGAAGTCACGAAGCGTAACAAAGCACTATAACCTTAAATCATTTCAGCACCGATCGCTTCAGTGATTTTGAGCGATATCATGTTTGCTGAGAATGGCAATTATGTTGGTGGCAGTACGATTATGTGCACTGGTGACAATATTTTTCTCTTCAGCGCAGATCGACAACGAATAATCCTTGATACATGGATTTTTGGTCGTGAAATTTGTTTATCAGTTGAAGGATATTACTTGTCAGTGTTGAAAATAACATTGCCAAGTAGACTCATGATAAGATAGAAAGGTACAAATGCTACTTATTAATTCGGATGTCGTTCAAAATAAATCATCCGAACAAATGACGCATTGCTTCGAATATAGCACTGCTGAAGCAGCGAATCAGTCCATTTTTGATCTTAAGAAAAAGACTGCAGCTGTTGGCAACTTTTGTGTATGAGAATATAAAAGAATACGGCTGACGGTATCTAAAAAGTGTGCGTCTAGTTACGGCCCGCATCAATTTCCTTGCTATAAACTACAGAAAGCATCCAAAAACTAGTTGAGAATAACAGTCGCATTCCGTTATCAGTGGACAATATAGTCTTTATAAAGAGCAAAGAAAATATCAAACAGAACAGCCATATATCCTTTTTCAGACATATAGTGCTTCTTCCATTGCAATAACTTCATAATTTTTTATAATAGAAGAGCAGAAGTATATATTTTTCACATAGTATAATTGTTTGTTTGGAGATTTTGTAGTAAATTGGATCAATTAGCAATTATACATAAAGTATTGCTGCCGAAAGAACCTAATTGGTACTTGCATCGCATTAAATGGCTGTACCAAGCCCAACCTTTTGTGTAAGCAGGTGCATCATTTAATCATTTATTATACACCTCAGCTAGAGATGAGAAACATGCCAGTCGCTGTTCCGCAATAAACAAGAAGAGAAAAGGAAAAATAAAACATTTTGAAGCCAGCTGAGTTACCAGTAACGGATGGGTATCGTTCCGGAAAGCTACCGGCCGGGTACTATGTGGCAAAAAACATTCACTAGGCAAACTTTATGTCAAGGAGTGAGATCGCGATTGGACAGGGAGGCTAGATGGGATGGGGAGGGACAAAGAAACTCACAACACGAACGCCACTGTGCATGCTGCTAGCCATGTCAGCGAGTGTATCCAGTCAAACGTGTTCATCGTCTTTCGGACCCCAACCAGGGAGCCGAGAGGCTCCAACCGAGGTCAACATCAAAGTAATGACGTTCATTGCTCTCGACCAAGTCATCGCTTGACCACCTCTCCTCTTCTTCCATCCTACCCCAGGCGCGCAAACAATGCACGTCGCGGGAGCCGGTAGGCTGGCACGCGCAACACGTGACCCAAACACTGGAGCCTGGTGGGCGAAATAACAGTGCTGAGCAGTTCATTTCCTTTCCCTGTGCCGTAAACAAGGAGTCGAACACGCTCGTTGCTCACGCGGTGTTCCCAGCAGATATGAGCCAACTTGCGAAGGCACCGGTGGTCGAACGTAACTAGCCTCTTTATGTTCGCTGATCTAAGGGGCCAGTTTTCACAACCCCACAGTAGGGTAGAAGGTACCCTGTATTGTACACTCTACCCTTTAGGGAAAGAGTGGTGTCGCGCCGGCGCCATAAGTGGCGAAGGCTAGCAAAAGCGCCTCGAGCTTTTGCTATACGGTTGGTGATCTCGTCTTCGATCCTAAGGGTGCTGACCGAACTTCCCACGTAGTTATGTTTTGTATTACTTCTAGCTGATCCTCACCAAGTGTCAGTGTAGAAGGCGGTCCCTGTCAAACTTGGAAGAAAGCTTTGCACTTCGAGGGTGCAAAGCAAAACCCGAAATGGCCGATAGCTATAGCTAATCTGTCCAACTCAGCTTGGCACGTTTGTGAGCTGTCACAAATTAGGGCAATGTTGTCAGCATATTCCAATTCAAGAAGTCGTTCGCCTGGGAGCAGCTGCACACCTTCTAAGTCGTGTCCTGTGGACGCAATCTTCATTAATTCGTCAGTAACGAAGTGGAAAGGTGATAGCGGGCTTCCTTGTTTTACACCGCTGGAGATATTGAAGGGGGACGACAGGCTGCCGTAAGCCCTCACTCTGTCCGAGCTAGGCCCGTATAACGCCAGAATAGTATTTACATATTTCACGGGCATACATTGCCTGAGTGAACAGTTCCAATGGGCACATTGATCCACCAAGTCGAAGGCACCTTTGATATACAGGAACACGATAACAGTGGGCCGCCAACATTTGTGGCCGGGTTCCAACAATTAACGCAAAGTAATGATGTGTTCGATGCAGCCTCGAATTTTACGAAACGCGGCATATTCTTCACA